CTACTATCCTGAAAAGACACCCTATGATTGAAACACACCCATGACCATGCAACATGGTGTTGAGCATCAAATATTCTTTAGTGAAATGTGCCACAGCATCTGTTCCTCTGTCGCGGAGAACCTAACGTGTTGCCGGGGCTCCGGCTCGACGTGCAGGAGAAGGAACGGAGTGGTTTTTAGTTAGTAAGAGTCTGACACTCCCTCTCGCCTACCCCAAGGCGGGAGAAGTTACTGGATGACTTTTCCCTCGCAAAAAAGGAGTCAATGACCGGCAGAGTGTACTTTTTTGTGGATAACAGAACAAGCTTAGAGTATTTTACACCAACTACTCTAAGCACACTTGTAATTTAAAAACTATTGACTTAGAATTTATTTTATATTTTTCTGATAACTACTTATTAGAACCTTTCTTTGATAACATATGCCTTTAGCCAAACCAAACGCCACTTTAGTGCTTGTCTACAGAGAGAGTAGAAATCAAAATGTATGGGGATGACACTGACAAGTGACAAAATTTACGTCAATTCCATATAATTTGGTTTTCTATTCTAGATGTAGACAAACGCTAAATGGAATTTGGCTACAGCTGCAGGAACGCTGTAGATATAGATGTATAGATAAATGCAGAATAAAATAGCACCGTCCACATATATATGTACTTATATACCTATGTTTCGCGTGTTACTAGTCAATAAATAAGAATGTATTTCGTGAACCTGTAACATCCATACCATTGCGTTTTCACGCTTCAGTGCTTCAGTTACAAATGTGAAGAATTGCTGTTGCCTTACAAATTGCAACTTCCTCTTATTAATGAATTATTTGTTGACACACGTACATACATAGATATATTGATGATCTATGACTGCTAGAAATAGGATCATTTACCTATTGATGAAAATATTAATATTTTCTAATAACTTTCTTCTTCTAGGAAGGGGTAGGCAGAAGTGCATATTACGGCACTTAATGCCACTGTACAATATTACACCAACTCTTCACTATTTATGTTATGAATCCCATGTGACTCTATTGCCATGAACCGCGCACAATTCCAGACTCCGTGTTAATACTGAGGATTTTTTTTAAAAAACAGTAAATTTTTTCCCGACCCGGGAATTGAACCCGAGACCCCTTGCCCGGCAGCCGCACTGGAGATCAACGGCCAACGAGGCAATAATTTACTCTGTAAGGTAATCTATGTCTTAAATCCTGAACCACATAAAATACCCTGAATAAGCCAGTGACTAGTGGCAGTTTATTGTCGGTCTCCTCTACTTATGAGAGGTGGTCATGAATAGGGTAGATGACTAATTTTTATTTTAATGTCCGTCTGGTAGATTATTTTAAAACATTAGACACGTATTTTTTATTTTTTTACAGAAACGAATACTTTCGACTATATATTGATTTTAAATGTGCCGTGACGTCACTTCTATGTACATTTTATACGTAGAAATGACGTTTTAGCCCCCACTCCTAAACTTTGATTCGCTTTATCTAAGTATCGTTTTATTATACGACAAAATGAAAAGAATACTTGTTTGATATTTTTTCATTATCTAACTGACGGACTAATTAGATTTTTAATTTTCATACCCTGTCATCATGCCAATTCCAAGTTTGTTAGGTTGTTTAGAGATTCTAGTCTATGGGTAAGTTTTGGAAGAGTGCTATTGACCGATTTCTGTTGTCGCTTTTCTATATGCTTTATAGCTCGACATTTGGCCACTATCTCGCCTGAAGGTAAGCGATGATGCTGCCTACAACAAAGTACATCTGCAGTTGAGCAAACTATTTACTCGGGCTTTGAAGACACCCAGGTTCTATATACCCTACAGGAAACACAGACTTTGGTAAATAATTTCACTTCTTAGCAGTTCGTACAAGCAGTACCGTCTTTGCCATAAGGGCAATGGAATCCCGGGCCCAGGGCCTCCCTCCTCATGGTACCCTGAAGGACGAACAACTTCTACGACACGGCCATACTCACTATAATACTGCCCTAAGTAACGAGTTCGGTTCCTTCTTTGCCCGCCCCGGGAATTGAACCCGAGACCCCTTGCCCGGTAGTCGTACTTGCGACCACTCGGCTAACGAGGCAGATATTTTAATTATATTAATTTATGTTTATCTCTAAATTATTCTAGGTTATCTTTCATTTGTTAAATAAAATCTTTGCTTGCCTCTTGCACCTACCATTTACTCTTCTCTGCATCCCCCAAAGGTCAGACTGGTAGAAAATGCTTGCGGCATTAAGTCCACCTATTTATACATTTTGTGCATGAATGAAACATATTAAATAAATAAACAAATGAAAAAAATATGAATGTAAAATTATATTTTTGGCAATTTATAATTACAAGGACTGCCAAAAGGCTCGTGTTTGGTGGTCTTGACCCCTTCCTTATTACATCGCGAAGTGTTACCTAGACCATCAAGGTTGCCTATTGTCCTAGCTAATCAGATCTTGTATTTATGTAACTTTAGTATATTATATAGGTACTTAAGTACGTAGCGTAGAGGTGGTTTTAATAATATATCCGTCTATTGTATTTTTTGTTGAACTAAATTAATTTTTTTATTGTCCTTGCGTTGTAATTGGAAACATTATGTCATATAAGATACTTAATGTAATTAAATACCACGTCTTATATAAATGGTATCTATTATCAAGGTGTTCTAACTTATATTTAAATTTTAGTTTAATTATTGTAGCGACTGCCTCGTTGACCGAACGGTCGCAAGTGCGACTGCTGGGCAAGGGGTCTCGGGTTCGATTAACAGGTCGGGCAAAGTACTACTGGGTTTTAAAAAAAAACTCAGTAGTAACACGGAGTTTAGAAATGTGCCCGGTATATGGTAATAGGCTCACCTCCTATTACATGGGAGTCATAACATAAATATAACATAGGAGATTGTGGAGTTCATCAAGATCAAGGCAAAGCTTCACCTGAAGGTTGAGCAACTGCACTCGCAACACAGAGTAGACTTCAAAGTCTTTTGTAGTCAGGGTGCCGACTGAACATCTGCCAACCCTAATGAAAGAGGAGTTTTGGCCGCGAGGAGTAGTCTTCCGACGGTTCCGAGGTCGGCTACCGGACACTGCGACACACGACGACTATTCGTGTGACCTAGTTATTAAGTACCTAATTGAGTAATTATTTTGTTTGTAATATATGTATAGTTTTTATAAATCTTTAATGTATTAGTTTATAGTATTCGATATGGGCCTGTGATGCCTGAAATAAATAAATAAATAAATAAATAAATAACGTAAACCAGAGGATCTAAGTACATATACACAATAATTAGCTACTTTATAATGACTCAAAACAGGATTTTATGATCCCAATAATGAGGGTTTAGCGTCATTTGGCATTTGGCTAGACCATTAGTTAGACATGTTTTTTTGAATTAGAAAGTTAATTTCAAAATGTTGCATAAGCTTGATTAGCAGTCAAATAACATGTCGTAGGTCGGTACGATCGTGATTATGATTGCCGGATGATAAGGATAGATAGAGACGATTAGGAAGGTAAACCAATTTGTTGTGATTAATCCCATAGTAGCAAAGAACACAATATACATAGTTAGGTAATTAAACAACCTTTTGATATTATTGCTGTCTCGTAGGCCGAGTGGTCGCAAGTGCGACTGCCGGGCATGGGGTCTCGAGTCCTATTCCCGGGATGGGTAAAGTATTTCAGGGTTTTTAAAAAAAATCTCAGTAGTAGCTCAGAGTCTGGAATTGTGCCCGGTATATGGTAATAGGCTCACCCCCTATTACATGGGGCTCATAACATAAATAGTGAAAAGCGGGTGTTACATTATACAGTGGTATAATGTGCACCTCTGCCTACCCCTTCGGGGATAAAAGGCGTGATGTTATGTTATGTTATTCCCATAGTGACAAAGAACATAATATACCTAGATAACTAATTACAAAAATATTAATATTATTGCTTTTGCTATAAAAAGTTACTATAAGCATAGAATTAATAGGGTTCGTCGAGATTTTTCTTTAATTGAATTGAATCTAGGCTAACCTGGTTATATTCAATCCAACTGCACTGAACCTATGTTTACTGTGGTTCAGTGGAGTTGGTTAAAAATAAGGTTCACCTTATTTTTGTTTTTTTGAGGGAGAAAATCATCCGCATTGGGTTAGGCCGGAGTTCTGGTAACCAGTGGCCGTTACAGGTTCTCCACAGCTCCGAAACCGTACTAAGTCTCAGGTCAAGATCCATGTGAAATGTTTGTAAACAAACCACAGAGCTAGCCATATTATAATTGTGTATCTGGCCGCAACAAACTGTGCAGTTTTTCTCCCTCTAAGATCACTGGAATCGAGCGTCTATGTATTTTAGAAAGTAGGTATTTTTAGTTCACATATTTACGGAGAAAACTTTTTATGAAATATTTTGGAAAAACAATCAAAAATACCTTTCCAATTAACAGTGTTGCCAGTCTTGGCCATAAAACAATGGTTTATGGTATTCGCAACAAGAAACTTGAACCGTGCGAAGCGAAAAAACGGAAGCCATTTTAATGAATCCAAATTAAATACATAATTTAATAACTATGTCCATATTTCCTTATATAGTTAGTTATATAATGTTCATAATATTGTCCATGTGGTGTCGTATATGACAACTTTCTAATTTCACTCGGATTATATCATTTACAACTTTTGTTCTAACAATTTCCGTGGTAGCCATGTTGTATAAAATGGCGGGAGATGTTTTCTTTTGGCGCCATTATTAGATTAGGCGTTGGAGCGTTAACATACAGCCTAGAGTTAAAAGAGGTTTTAAGTAGTTTTGTTGAATATTAGTTTTTGTGATAAGTGTCTTTGAGTCGACGATTCCAGTTTCGTATATTAGATAACTATGGTGCAATTTTCTTTTATTTGTTTGTGTGTGTTTACATATGTATTGGAAGATAAATGTGTTAAGAAAAATAAATCATCTACGATTGTTTCGAGTTTTATTTTAAAATTACACTAAGTATTATTAGTTTGTTTATGTACAAAAGTTCGTTTTATAATTAAATAACTTAATAAATAATATTAGTTGGAATATTTACAACTTTTAACCCTATTTTTACATTGATAATATTGCATGACTTGTCGCTAGTTTTAAATTATGAGATTGTATCACTATAAATAAAAATTAAAAAAAATAATTTAACGATTTCAGAGAGAATAAACAAGCACCATTGCCCTCTGAAAGTACTGAATCAATTTAAAAAAAAGAACATCACTTTTCTATAAATACAGGCTGAACATTATGATACCATGTCATGATCAACTTTTAAATTTTGAAATTAGAACTGTCCAAATAAACATTTGTGATTGGTCAGCCATGACACTTCCATCTTTGTCTACACCCAGCACATCTACCTATCACTATTCTTTAATACATTTTCAACTCTATGCAATAAGTTCTAAAGTTGAAAATATGTTGAAGAATAGTGATACCTTGATGTGCTGGTGGTTAAATTCCCGCGAAAATATAGCCACAGATTTATTTATCGCAAGATAAACTAAACGTTGCTTTGTAGATGATCATAGGAAATGTCAGCGTGGAAGCCATCGGGACCAGCGGAGTACTTGACCTGCTGCAGTCTACCATCAGGTAGAAGTACGTGGTAGGAACCATGGGTTTTGTCTCCAGATTTCGCCTCTTGGTGGCCGAAATCATTTCCAGTTTCGTGATCACGAACTCGATAACCGAATTCGTAGTTCGCTGCGTACTGGATCTGTAAAGGAAATGGAATTTAAATAAAAAAAGTAGACCTTTTTGTGTGAATATGGAGGTGGGAAATATGCCTGGTGAATAAGATTCATAATTTAATATTCGGTTAAAGTGGAAACAGTAAGTATTCGCGGAGAACCTAACGGGTTACCGGGGCTCCGACTTGACGTGCAGAAGAAGGAACAGGGTGGTTTTTAGTCAGTAAGAGTCTGACACTCCCTCCGGCCTCACCCAGGCGGGAGCGGTCATTCGATGATTTTCCCCCCTTAAAAAAAACCACTATTCTAGTTGTAACTTATAAGAGCCGACAAGGGGACTACACATTTATTTGTTAGAGACCTGGCAGTAGCTGGCAGTAGGCAGTGTTCCCTTATACTTAAACTTAGAAATTTATTCTCTTAATTCCAGATTAACGTAGGAATTATTTAAAATCTTTCTTATGACCTTTAAATGCTGGAATGTATTCCATCAGGGGACTCTCAAGGCCTGTTTATGATGATGATGATGAAAAGTAAGTTACGTTATGCAATCACGCCATTTTATTTTTTTTCGAAGGGGTATAATTATTAAATTACTGCTCACGCCTTGGGTGAGACGAGACGGGCAATTATAGGCACTATGGTGCGTTTGTAGAATATAAAAGTTTCACCAGTTATCAATAGTCTAGTCCTTACAATACGTTTATTGATTAACACAGTAATGTAGGGTATTTTGTAGGCGTTTCGCTGTTAGTCTTGTATTTAGTTTTTGATTTCTATATTTATCTCGGCTATCAGTGCTTCTGTTACGTAGTAGGGGATCACATAAAGTCCAAAAATAGCAAAAACCTCACCCACTATTTCAATGGAAATAATATAGGTTTGCCAATTTAGAAATGTCAAAAATTTGCGGCTGATTCAGGATGTTATAATCTATCTCTATAAAACAGACATGCAGCAATGGCAGAAGTAGGTAAAAAAGAGATACGATCATGAACAAGTACAGTGCCGGATTAAGCCAGCGCGGGGCCTGTAGCAAATTCTGTCTAGGGGCCCTTGGTTTGCTATCGGTTCTCATTTGGGCATTGACTAAATTTGGTCCTTTCTTTTTTCTGGCGTCAGTCGATGATTTATGGAAAATATTGTCTAGAATGACATTACAAACGAAATTGTCCCCATATATATGAAAGTGAGCCCATAGGGCTCATGTATGGAAATCACAGTCTGGATTGAGTTATGAGCGTTGAAAGGAGCTGAAGTCAAACATTTTACTTTGGTTTTTTTATTCAAATCTTATATCTTATACTATTATAATAAAGAGGAAGGGATTGTTTGTTTATTTGAACGCGCTAATCTCCGTAACTACAAGTCTGATTTGAATAATTCTTTTTGTGTTGGATAGTGCATTTATCGAGGATGGCTATAGGCTATAAAACATCACGCTACGACCAATAGGAGCCGAGCAGAGCGTGTAAAACCGCGCGGAAGTAGCTAGTTATTCATATTTTTGTCACAATTCCCAATTTTAAATTGCGTGCAACTGTAGTGCGTCGGGCGTGCACCAGGAGCACCATATCACACCACAATATATTCATATTGCCAGGCACTAATTTTTATTACCTATTTTCTCTCAGTCGATAACTTGTGGGATGCTTCTAGGAGTTGTGTCATGAAGCTTCATGAGCGTCAGCTATGTTACCAGTGGTGGGTTGAGCGGTGGTAGCCGTGCGAACATCTAATAAAGTGTATTTTGTTTTGCCATTGACTCCTGGTGGGAGACTCATCTACTTTATAGTTCGCATAATCTTTTGTAGAAAGGAAACCGTCGACTTTGTAAAGTGATATACGTCAGATGAGCGTATATTTTTTTTTCATATAATGTGATCAGTCGAAATATAGTCCATCACTTTGTGACTGAATGACGATATCTTTGTACAGAATCTTATGCTAGCTCTAGATTAGAGTATTAACTGTAGTTAAATTAGTGACTAATCGGGAGTAGGTCGGGAGAAGTAGACAGAAAAAAAATTTTTTCGTGTTTCGACGATTGCCACTACTCAATGCGCTACCGACGCCGCAGCTGACAAACATAGCATTTCGTGATAGGGCTCAGTAAAGTATTTTGCGGGTTTTCGACTGAGAGGGTATTGAAACTTACATGAAAATCTGTCATAGGCCATAAACCGTATACATAGGTATAAAGTGAACACGCTAGCCAAGCAATCGAAATGTTTTTTTTTTTACTTGTGTAGTGGCCAGTTAAAGACTCTGTTATGATTCCGTGGCCTTATAAAAACAAGTGCGAGTCGGACTCGCGCACCGAGGGTTCCGTACAAACCTGCAAGGTTTACAAAGTTCGTTCATTACGACATATTTTGTAATGTAACTAAAAATTTAAGGTTTTCGGAATTTTTCCTTTATGTGTGCTATAAAACGTTGCTTCATGCCAAATTTCAAGATTCTAGGTCGACTGGAAGTACCCTTTAGGTTTTGATTCCCTTGCGAGTACTTGCGAGTTTCAAAATATGCAGCTTAAATTGCTGTTTCTTTTGATTGCGTTGACATAGAAGTTTGATTTTGTTACAGCTTAAAGGTATTATAGACCTGAGTATTTGGTATGAATTTCAATTTAATACCTCTACGCGTTTATGAGGAAATGGGTAGTAAGTTTAAAATTATTAAAAAAATATATATTATGTGATGTAACTAAAAATTTATGGTTTTCGTAATTTTTCCTTTATCTATGCTATAAGACGTTGCTTCGTACCAAATTTCAAGATTCTGAGTTCACGGGAAGCACCCTGTAGGTTTTGATTCCCTTGCAAGTGTCGAAAATTTGCGGCATAAACGGCTGTATCTTTTGATTGCGTTGGCTTAGAAGTTTGATTTTTTCACAGCTTCAAGGGACAGTAGACCTGAGTAATTGATATAAATTGATATAAGCTTCATACCTCCACGCGTTCCTGAGAAAAAGAGTCTTGACAGACGGACGGACGGACGGACAGACGGACAACAAAGTGATCCTATAAGGGTTCCGTTTTTTCCATTTGAGGTACGGAACCCTAAAAAGAAGTCCACTATAAGCTTTACTATATTCCTTGAAATCGTTTATAAACATTTATTACAAAATATTTCTGACAAGTAAATGAAGAAATATGCGTTGTGTACGGTCACCATCAACAAAATAACAGGAATAATATAGCACTATTTTCACATCTTTGAACTGATTTAACTCAGTTTGGACTGTGTTTTTGATATAAGACCCCATATATTTTTTTGTTTGTAATGTTATTCTGCATCAGTTTTTACACATCCAATAAACTGCCGCGAATAAATAAAAAGGCACCACGCTCCATACAAATTTGGTCATTGTCATTTGGGTATTATTACATAAAACAAAACTGTTACAAATAAACTTTTCTGGATTTGTTATGGTTTGGCATGATTTAGCGATTACACTTTCAATATCGAATTCTTTGACTTCTTGAACGCCATGGGGGACAAGGTATGGGCCACGCTAGCGGAGGATTAACCTTCAACAGTTTTCTGTCGGCAGTCAAAGCCTTAAGCAAGTCATGCTCTATATTCAACATTGTGAGATGATTAAGACGTTCTTGACCCGTAGTGTTCCTTAATAAATTCATTTTTGATTCGTTTAAATCGGGCTCGGTTCGCCCGCCAATGGCACCAACCAAGCGAACAAATACTAACTTTCCTTTTCTTACACATACAAAATATTTGTCTTTTTTCGTTAATTTCGTTAACAAAAAAATCAAATTACATGTAGGTTGGTAGTAGTTTTGTAAACAAAACATTTTCTTCATAAGTCTTGCTGTTGAAGTGGTGTTATTACGAAATACCCATTTGAGCGCGGGGCCCCCCAATCCGCGGGGCCCGTAGCATTTGCTACTCTTGCTACGTGGCTAATCCGGCACTGAACAAGTATGCACACAAATAAAAATACTTCAATTACATAACAAATTCTGTCTTATCCATCCACATAAAGATCTATAAAAACGAGAAACCAACGCTTTCATTTACTCGAAAATCTCATTTATCGATCGCAAACATTTTATACGAAAAAAAATCCTTTTAGCCAACGACTATGACATAATTCGTTATATCATTTAAATGACGCGACAATTTTTTGTCACATTCTTGAATAAATTAACCGTCAATTGTTTGATTTTGTCAATTTCACAATTGACGTGTGTGTGAGATAATGGAATAGAAATTGGATGGTGACTCGACAAATTTATTAACAAAGTTGAGTTGGAGACTCGGTCGCCATTCAAGAAAAAAAAATCATTTGGTTTATATCATCTAGTAGATAAGTAGTTGTATTTTTGTTATGATTGCACGGTTGGTGCGGTGGCTGGGCAATCGGCTGCCGTGCAACGTGTCGCGGGTTCGATTCCCGCACGGAACAACACTTTGTGTGATCCACAAACCGTTGTTTCGGGTCTGGGTGTCGTTGTGTATGTGAACTTGTATGTTTATAAACGCACCCACGACACAGGAGATAATCGAAACGTGAGGCAACGTTAAAAAAAATTAGAAACTTGATAGCGTTGAAATAATATAATTGAGAAGATTGTGTTTATTAAAACTAAATTTTTTAAAATTATTTCGTAAGCTTTGACTGCATAGGGAGTAGATTTTATTAGAGTAATTCTACTATGTATAAAAGGAACTACAAATTCATCATCATCACTATTATTAGCGTAACGACGTCCACTACTGAACATAGGCCTTTACCAATCACTACCACATCGGTCGATTTGAAGTGACCTGCATCCAGCGACCAGCAGCTCTCTGCGGTTTATTAGATCACATATCCATCTTGTGAATATCCTGCACTGCACTTGCTGATATCTGTGTGGTTTTAATTTTATAACTTTTTTCACCCATCAGTCGTTATTTCTACGCATGCAATTGTAAATAAATAACAACTCTAAAATAAATTGGTATAATTTATTTAATACATAACAATTAAATAATTTACTTAACAACAACTTTGAACACAATAGCCACTAACTTAAATAACTTAATACTAAATCTGGTAGGTAGCATCTTTTTAGTATTTTTGGTAACAAAAATAATTTCTTTATACGAATGGAAGGAATCGATTTTATGCTTACAAAAGTTACCAGTCTCCTTTTCAAAGTCCTTCTGCTTCATTCTCTTGTCCTAATACTCATCGCCTTTCATATATAATTGTATTTTTTAATGTGGAATGATTGCATTAAATTTGATAAATTAATACCTTGCCATAATTTTTATGATCTGGACAATGTTTTGTATCCAATAAAAGTCACTGTAAATATATGGGAATACTATTCGAGATTGCTGCGAAAATCAAGGACGGGTTGCTATTCTTTTTACGCGACAGTTTTCTTTTGGGGTGTTCTCTAAACGAGAGGAAGTGTCAGACGCTTGATGACTGAAAACCACCCCGTTCCAACTCCTGCTTTGAGCCGGAGCCTTGCTAATTCTTGCAGTGGTTCACAGTCCCGATTGCATTTGCCTTCGTGGACCCATCTTCGATTCCTATTCTTAATATTGAACTAATTTATGTAACTTGCGAAACTTGCCTAATTTATTCGGCCGCCTATTTTGCCTGTGCTTCTTATTTCGCCTAGGATATCTATGCTTCGGTTTAGTCAAAGATGGATACTGAAAAACGTCCAAATGCTGGACATTTACATGTCTTTGGTTCACAATATCTTTTAATTGAGATTCTGTCAACATATAGACAGGTTCTAACGAATCTATTAAGCTTGAGACCTCAGGATATTGGGGTTTATGTGGCCGAAATTGAGATTTGGGAGGCCCATAATGCTGATAACCTGGTGGGCCATAACTATCGGGAGGACCGTACTCATCACTAGGGTCTGAATGAAAATCATTATAATTTGGATGCTTGAAACTGGAGAAGCGGTTTGAAAAGCTATTTTGTGAATCTAAATTGTGATTTGCAAAATTTCTTTGCCTTGGTGGTCTGGTGAAAGTAACTGGTCGTTTGAAGCTGTTTGGTGCTGGGTAATCTAGATCTGGGGGATTGAATTCATAATCTGGGTCGTAATCACTATCATAAGCATAATCTTTGTTTTCGTCCTCATAATAATCGTAATCTTTCGCTTCCCCAGCAAATTGGAAACTTGAATCAAAATTATTGAATGACCTATAACGTTTCCACTCCGCAGGACTTGGTAACGTTTCATTTTTATCACTACCTGAAGCTATATTATCATCTGAAATACTTACATTACCTTTAAACTGCGTATTATTGAGCAATACTTCAGAAACATTAACTTTTGAGTTATTAGCATTCTGAATTACAGTTTCGTTACCTAAAATAAATAATGAAGTGTCTAAGACTTGGCGTTTGACGCGTTTTTTTATACTTACATCATCGGCACCGTATGCTGATACCCCAGTTCCATCTTGAGACAAATGCTGAACTCCGGACTGTTGTGCTTGAAGATATTTGATACCTTCCGTATGAGCTTCTTGGTGGTAAATGTTCAAAGGTTTCTCATACTTCACTGCAGCATAACTAGGCTTGTGTTGGACGGGAAATTCAAGCCCTTTTCCACTAACAGTTTGTTCCACTTCTATTTTGTAATAATTACTTTTCGTTGTCGTTGGATCTTCAAACACATGTGGCATGACTGTTGGTGTTTGAGCAATAGGTTGTAGTTTTAAATTAGGAACTTTATCTTCTTCTATATCATCTACTTCTTCTGTGATTGGCTTATGATCACTATAGTTTATATATTCGGTTGCGTAAGGTCCTGCATATCCGTTATCAACATTATATTTAATTTTGTTTTCATTGCCTATATTCAGTCCATTTGGGTTATTTAGGTAAAAGTATAAATCAATAGGAGTTTCAAGATTTTCTTTACCATATTCTTGGTTCACATGAGTTAAAGTATTTAGTTCTGATACTTGTTCTTGTGGTGTTTTAGCGAGGAGATTGTTTAAAGCGCTTATGTCATCAGCAGATTGATATGAATGCATTTGATGGTACAATTTTGGGTAAACGTACTGAGTTTTACTTGGAGACACTTCTGTGTATAGACCTGTCTGTTCTTTTTCCAGATTATTCAATCCTATATTGCCATTAGGTTTGATAGTAACTCCTTGATCGTATGTAGTTCCTGGTGAAGTATTTATTTTGTGTTTCGGTTGTATGTTATTATAGTAGACTGAGCCGTAAGATCTGTTATTTCTATTTTTATCTACGGCATCAGCTCTAGTTAACTTCACTGGGTCTAGTGACGGTCTATTTCTTAGACGTGTTCTTTCCTGTCTTTGCTTAGGTTTTTTCTCTCTTTGCGTGGCTTGCATCTGTTCTAAGGCTAATTGATGGTTTTCTTGAGATTCGTGATAAGCTCTCATGTAGCTGTCTCCCTGCTGTGGTTGTGCATTCCATCTTTGTATTTGAGCTCTATGCTGTCTCACTCTTTCTGCATTGAACATTGCTTGTTGATGTTGAGCATGTAGTTTGGCATTTTGTTGAGAGTTACCTGCTAGTGGGTTCCCGTATAGTGGCCTTTTGTCATCTATCCTGGCTTGTTCGTTGATGATCTCGTGGACCGATGGAGCATTGTTTTTAGCTGTTCTTGTTGCTGTGATGTGAAATATGAGGAGTATTGCTGCAGCCTTCATGTGTATTGTGAGCCGCATTTTGTCTGAAACAATAGAGGTTTTGTGTTACTTCTTTTATTTTTTACAGTCTTTAATATAGATGTTAGGGATATTATCTTTTTACTTTTGTATGTTTCCTGATTAAAGTTGTATTAATACATATTTATACAAAGAAATATCTCGCAAATTAATCAAAAATACTCTCATTTCAATTTCTGGGTCAAACTTTCTTATCTATCTCTATAAACAACACCAAAAATAAAGATGTTTTAATTAACTAGCGGCCCGAATTGCCATCGTCCTGTACGAAACAATAATTATCCAGACATCCATTAAAATATTAATTAAGTAAACAATATTCACACATGTTCACAAATATCCACATTATTATTCCCAATCTTAAACACATGCACATTATTTCAAATAACATCGTACTCAAAAATATTAAAGTTCGTTCCGACTACCTTTTCTTTTTGAAACCACTACATCGCCTCGCCAAATTCACAACGAAACTGTTTAAAATATTCTCGTATGGTTTTATATAAACTTTTAGATAAGGTCAAACATGATAAAGCTAAAGCTAGCTTTCTACCTACGGTTTCACCTGCATAGAATAAAGAAGATTTCTTTGGACTCAGTCCTAATCCTGTAGATCAGTTAAGATAATAAGTAGCCTATGTATACTCCCTGAATAGTAAGGTTTCTAATAGTGAAAGAATTGTTCAAATCGGTCCAGTAGTTTCGGAGTATATTCAATGCATACAGACAAACAAATGTATCTTTTCTTTTTAATATTTGTGTAGATGTAGATTATGTTCTTTCATGCTTTGTTATTTCATACATATTGTTGGTATAGAACGAAGTGCGTGAGGTTGCCATCTGGCGCATAATATGTAAAACTTTCTTTAGATAAGATGTCCACTCAATACTTGTACCGGCTTCACCGTTGATTCTTATTTCCATTATTTAAATATAGTAATATTCGTGCAATACGGCCTTTTTATTCATAACTCTTCACATATGTATTATATGACATAATTTGTGATCTTTATGTCAGTTCTGTATTTCTGATCTGGTTTCTTGGCTTTTACATATTTATATTTATTTATTATGAA